CAAGATGTGCACTCATATTGCGACCACTGATTCCCGAATATAACAAATCCATGGTCCGATTCCCAGTCAGCGACACACCAATATTAATCTTTAGATATCCCAAGCAGCATCAGAACCGATCACAAGGAAGTATTACTTGTATTGTATGTATAAATTATTGCATATTCAGGAATTGGTCTGAGAACCTATCAACTCTATTTATGTGAAAAGGATGTTTCTGCTGGAAACTTCTGCATTGTCATTAGCATAGAGAAGATGGCTTCATTATGCATACTTTCGGCACATGCTGAGAATCACCAAATCCCGTGGGGTTAATAGGTCTCAAGTTTGGAAGTTCGCTCTTTAGATATAACTAGATTAACAAAAAATCAAGTCAGAACAATGAAATGCTATTCAACACAACTAACATGCATCTCATAGTCGTCAATTGCACTAATGTCAATTTTCACCAGTTTTTTCAATATTCGTCATCATATGTCACTCATGCAAACTTCTTTTCTCGGAGCTTCGTGGATCCATCCATCATAATAAACAAACCAAAGCCATGAAATAAAACTAAGTACAGAAACGATCGCAGTTACCAAATTGGAGAATAACAAATAGGAATTTACCTGAATTCCCCACAGCAAATGAGAAGATCGATCTTGATTTTTTCAACTTCTTGCAGGTGTAATAGAGGTAGCATATATATCGTCCAAATCTCCAGACATGCTCTCTTCTAAGCTATTCATCTAAAATTTCTTTTTTCATTTAAAAGAGACTTAGTTCTACAGTGAAGATAAGAACTTAATTCATAGCCCACAGACTTCATTCTGTCCAGAAGTTCAAAAGCAAGTGTCGTATTATCTTTTGAATCAAAAAGAGCTTGAAGTAAACTGTTACAGACTCGAGGCATCAGTCGGTAGCCTTTCTCCATGGTGTAGAGAAAAACATCAACTGCTTCGTTGAGATTTCCAGCAGAGCAAAGAGCATCAATCAACTTTACACACCCAGCAGCAGAAACAGCAACATTAAACTCCTCAAGAATAGAAAATGCCTTCAAAGCGTCCTCAATTCTGTTAGCCTGACACAAGCCAACAAGCCAAATGCTGTAAGGAGCTGAATCAAAGTCAGCCAACTTGTGTTCCATTACTAGTAAGCTTCTCAAAGCCTTCTCCAAATCACCTTTTTTAAAATATTCTTCAGCCGATCTCAATGCTTCACCTTCCCGGCCGGCTAGACTACTTAGATACTTCAACCAAATATTAAAAGCACTAGAAGTGTCTTTCCTTCTGCAAGACCAACACAAAAGCGTTTTATACACAGACGAGCTAGGCTTACATCCATTTTCACTCATTAGTTCAAACAGCTTATATGCATCACCCTCTCTACCCACCCTCTGGAGCCCCTCTATGAGAGTAGAATATGTTACAGAATCAGGAAACCGCCCCTTTATTTGGAGCTCCTCAAAAAGCTTAAGAGCGCTATTAACCTGCCCAGCCCTACACATGCCATTGATCAGCGTGTTATACGTGATGATGTTTGGGACAACCCCACTATCAGCAAGCTTCATCAAAAGCTTGTAAGCTTTAAGAATTGAACCGGAGGAAACCAAGTTGTTGACCATTTTTTGCAGACTCAAACTATCAAGAACGGGATCAGTGCTTTGAGAAAGCCGAAGAAATAACGACGGGTTTTTTCCGATTTCCATTTTGTAGAGCATCAAGTGGGCTTCATCAAGCTTCCCGGCCTTGCAGAGCCCATCAATAAGGGAATTAAAAGTCACTGCAGAAGGAGAACAACCGAGCTTTTCCATATCACCGAAAATCTGCTGGGCCTCCCCCAGCAGACCATTCCTGCACAAACCACAAATAAGAATAGTGTAAGTGCAGGTGTTAGGGAACTGATCATGCTGGGAAATCTCTATTTTGAGAGATCGAGCTTCATCCAATAGTCCTACGTTACATAATCCTTTGATTAACGCATTATAACATTGAGTGTCAGGCACAATACCTTTCCCAATCATGTCCCTGAATATATTCATGGCATCACTAACTCTTCTCGATTCACTTAACCCTCGTATCATAATGGAATACAAGATGAGATCAGGTTTTAAACCTATATCGATAACCGTTTGAAACAATTTCTCAGCCTCACTTATCCTCTTAGCCCTTATCAAACCATCAATCATACAACTATACCCCCGTATCCCAACACTATACCCATCTTCTCGAAATGACTTGAAAAGAAGCAGCGCCTCATCCATCTGTCCACACTTGCAGAACCCATCAAGCAAGGCATTGTATGTGGCAGAATCTGGTTTCAAGCCATTATTCTTCATCGAGATAAACAGCTTATGCGCATCATGCGCCCTATTCGCCCTGCACAACCCTGATATAACCACCGTGTAAGTAATACGACTTGGCAATATTCCTCTCTCAGTCATTTCATCAAACAGCCTGAGTGCATCAAGAGTCATCCGGCTCTTGCACAAGCCATCAATCAAAACGTTGAAAGTGTCGCACTGGATTTCATAGTTGGACTTCAACATGTTGTTATAAACCGCCAATGCCAACAAAATCAAGTTTTGCTTGACTAGAACATTCAATATGACATTGTAAGCAGCTAAATTCGGCCGGCACCCATAATCCCTCATCCTACCGAATGTCTCCACGGCCTTTTCTGCTTTCCTCAACCTCCAATAACCCAATATCAACACTACAAACGCATCCGCAGAAATGTACAGCTTCTCATTTCTCAATTCATCCAGCACGCTCCAGTACAGATCAAATGAAGAACTCTCACCGTCGCCACCGTACAATAACAGGTCAACCATCAAATTGTACAAAGCCCCACTCCGCAATCGCCGTTCTCCGGAAGCCCAGATGAAGAATCGGAAGCTAATTCGGGGATCTTTCTTCAATTCGGCCTGGGACTGAAGCACTGAAATCACGATTTCGCGATTGAGAAACGTAATTAATCTCCCGAGGGAGGGGCCGAAAGGGTGTGACGAGTTGATAAGGGCGAGGACTTGATTGGAAACGTTCAAGTTGGTGAGGGAGCTCTCTGAAAATGAAGTGAAGGTGGATGTTGGATGAGAATGGGGCTTCGATGAACGTAATATAGGGCAATGAAGGAGCTTCTGCATAGTGAGAGATGAAGAAAATGGAATCAAGGCAGCTGCTAGCTGACCCTGTTTCAATACACTCGATTTTTGGCCCTCTTCTCGTAGAAGAAGAAATATAACTCAGTTTCTGGAAAATACGGTAAGCTGAAACTATTCAGTACAGAGTTTTGGCGCAGGCCGGCCAACGAAGGACGGGTCCCTGGTTCCAGTCGATTATTGGGTCCGGACAAAGTTCCCTTGGTAGGTTCACTATATGCACCAAAATTTCACTTTTTAAATCTATTAATTTAGGAGTGTATTAAGTATTAATTTATTTATTAAAATTTTTCCAACATTATCACTTTATCAGAATTATCCAACATAGATTATGTAGAAAATTCAACTTCAATATTACATATGAAAAATTATGAATATTATATTGACACTTCTGGAATATTTAACTTAGGTGTTATTCATTAAAAATTAAATAATTTAATTTAACTAATTTTAGAACAAAATATATTTTGATTGAAAGACTATAAGGGTGTGCTTAGATACAAATATATATATCCAATCAAAAGATGTTATTTTTGTTAACCATGGTTGATTTTGAAAGATGTGAGATGCTTGTCAGTGAGATGTTTTGAATTTATATTAAAATAGTATTAAAATAAAATAACTAAATTNTCCAAAGCTCCCAAAAGGACAATAGACAAAAAACAATCCAAAGGAATAATAACAGAGGCCAACGGCCCAAACAAAAACACAAGCCCTAAGAACAACAAAACAAAGTAAACCGACTAAATACCACAAAACGAGCCCTTCCCAAACACCTGGACCGAGCAGAGGAAACAGAATAGTTCGACCCCAATTGAGTCCCGCAACCAAACGGACCAACCCCGAAACTGCCAAAAACCAATTTCATTGCCTAATGGAGTTGAATCCATGCCCCGAGACATCAACCAAAGCCAAAAAAGACCACGATCACAACTCCCAATTTTCCGCCGAACGCCACTGGACTGAACCATCTAACACCACTAGTGAGCCAGGCATCACTCGGTGACCCCCCCGAAACTCAGAGCATGAGAACAGGGGAATAGAGCAAAAGCCTCGACCCCCAAACCACCTGAAACCGCCAAGGTTCACCACCCACCGCTGCTCCATCCCGACCAACACCACTAGCCTGAAGACGGAGCACCGGTCCTCCCTGACCCAACGCCAGAGTACAGGGGGAGAAGGCCGAAACCATGGCGAAGCTCAGGCCACCAGACACCAACGCCGCCGAACGACCGAGGCATCACCCACCCATCGAAACGCTCCCCAACCACAACCACCACAACCCAGAAAGCCGGCGGCTGGAGCTCGCAGACCGGCACCATACCATTCATGAAAGCCGGTAACATAGATTGATAGTCATGCGAGGCGCGATACACCAGGCGGGGGCCAAGCAGTAGAGGGCCGACCGCCACCTAGCACTCAATTGCTGCTGAGGAGGGAAAAACGGCGCAAATCAGAGGCGACGATGGAGGTAGGCGAGGAAGAAGAAAGGGGAATTAGGTTTCGTAGAGTGAGGTGTATTTTCACTGAGTTGTTATACTGCGTTCGAAAAATATGTAAACTGATGGTTACTTAAAATTATGTGAGTGGATGAATAATGACTTAAAGTTAGTGTGATCCATGTTTTAAATACTGTACCGTACCGACCAGTATTACCGGTAATACCGGATTGAGTATAATGGAATTGAGTTAAAGTTGAGTTAGATTTTGAGTATGAATTGAATTTATTTATAAACAAACACACCCTAAAGGAAAAAAAAGGTGTGAAATTAGCCTTATAATAAGATATTATTAAATAACTTATTGTCAAATTAATTTGCATCGGTTATTCGATATATTACTTTTTTTTTTGGGTAAAATTTTGAGTTACATTCCTCACCAAGGTGCTCTGCATACCTCTTTGGGCAAATTTCTTTTACACCCCAATATATACATTGATATAGATATTATACTAGACCGGTTTTAATGGATAAGAAAGAATATATTGGAGAATAAGCCTACACATAGACTAGCACACATGGCATAATGGTATTGGCTAAGCCCAACTTGGGCACTAATTAAGGTACACTTCCCCTATATAAGGGGGCTAAGGTATCCCAAAACATCATTCTCTCTACATTCACTACTATGCTCTCATATTACACTCTATCTTTGGTAAGTGCTGACTTAGGCATCGAAGGCTCGACGCGGGAACCCTTCCGCCGTTGAGTTCTTGCAAGTACGAGACCGTCCGAGTTGAAGGAGCCCGGGTGAAGTCCATTCCACCAACATACATGTACTTTCTTTTTACACATTGTCCTATAAAAAGCTTCTTTTTCACCCCAATACTCACGAAAACTATATACGATATAATCACATATTCAAATGAAACACATAATGAACAATTATGCGAGATCTTTTCATATTATATACTAACTTTTTCAAATTAGACGCCTAGATAACAATAAAACAAAACATATTCGCATATTTGTTTATCGCATATCCAAATCCACCGCATAATTTTACTTATGCAAATTTATTTCGCATATCTAAATATCGTATATCCAAATTGATAGCCACATACTATACGATTATGCGACATGTTTCTTACATATTTTATAGCTCGCATATCCAAATTGATAGCCGCATATTTTACGATTGCTACACGTTTTTGCAATTTTATGTCTCGTATATCCAAATAGGATGCATAGTGAATAAGTATGTGAAACCCTTACGCACATTATGTAATCGCGAATCCAATGGAACGTCGCATATTTTAGGTTATGCGACGTATTTCACATAGTGTACAACTCGCATATCCAAATCCACCGCATAATTTACTATAGATATAACTTTTTCCATATCCTTTTATTGCATATCCAAACCAAACGTCGCATATTTTATGTTATGCTAGTATTTTGGCATGTTGTATGACTCACATATCCAAATCCACCGCATAATTTACTATAGATATAACTTTTTCCATATTCTTTTATCGCATATCCAAACCAAACGTCGCATATTTTATGTTATGCCAGTATTTTGGCATAGTGTACGACTCGCATATCCAAATCTACCCCATAGTTTACCATATTCGATAACTTTTCACACATTCTGTTATCACATATCCCAAACGAACATCGCATATTTTATGTTATGTGACGTAATTTCGCATAGGTTACGACTCGCATATCCAAATCCACCGCATAATTTAAAACTGTTAGCATATTCTGTTATCACAATATCCAAATCGAATTGCACATATTTTATTTTATGCGACTTATTTTCGCATATTACGACTTGCATATCTAAATCCACCACATAATTTAAAACTGTTAGCATATTCTGTTATCACATATTCAAAGCGAACGTCGCATATTTTATGTTATGCGACGTATTTTTTCTTAGTGTACGACTTGCATATCCAAATCCATCGCATAATTTACCACATCGGAAAACATTTTGAATATTCTGTTATAGCACATCCAAATCGAATGTCGAATATTTTATGTTATGCGACGTAATTTTTAATAGTTTACGACTCGCATATCCAAATCCACCGCATAATTTACCATATGCGATAACTTTTCGCATATTCTGCTATTGTATATTTTATGTTATGCGATGTAATTTCGCATTAATGTACGACTCGCATATCCAAATACACCGCATAATTTACCATATGCGAGAACTTTACGCATATTTTATTATCGTATATCCAAATCGAACTGTGCATATTTTATGTTATGCAACGTGTTTTCGCATAGTGTACGGCTCGCATATCTAAATCCACTACATAATTTATCTTATGTGAGAACATTTCGCATATTCTGTTATCGTATATCTAAATCAACACCGCATATTTTACGTTATGCGACGTATTTTCATATAGTGTACGACTCGCATATCTAAATCCACCGCATAACTTACCATATGCAAAAAAGATTCGCATATTCTGTTATTGCATATCTAAATCGAATGTCGCATATTTTATGTTATGCGACTTATTTTTGCATAGTTTACGACACGTATATACAAATCTATAACGCTAGATAAATAATGATTATGCCTATTTTTATCGCATAATCACGTAAAACTAGACGAGATGTGGATTGTTTTGTCATAAATCTTATGGTCGTCTTCATAATTTACAGTCTGCATTTTATTATTCTTCTTCTTCTTCCTTCCTGCATTTAATACCATTTAATTCTTTGTTTCACTGTTTTAATTCTACTGCACTTCTTTTTGTTCAAGCTTATCAAGACCGCAGATCTACTGGATTTTTTTTTATTATTCTTCTTGTTTAACTTATTTGGCTCTTATTTTTATCTTTTAAAAATTAAACTTCAATGGCTAGCAATTTATTCTGAAGTGGTTCTCGTGTTCAAGCATTACTAAAAGGCCGACACAGAGGAGGTGTCGTACATGTAAACAAACAGATCACGATTCATAATATTTACCAACGCCACACTTAAACACAATTCAACAAAACAAAATATAATAAATATCAAACAAAAGTTCCAAAAGTTATGGAGTTTTAGTTAAAATTCTACGGTGTACATCGGCGCAAACGAGTTACACTTCAGAGTGTTTACATGATCCTATATTCGATACAAATATATTTATAAAATGAAGGTAAGTCTACAAGTAAAAAGATACATCTTCCTCCTCCTTCAATCGTCGCAAATCTCTTGATACAATGGTCGTGAAAAGATCCCAAAAGATGCCAAGGATGAGATATCACATACGTGGAGCACAAGAGTCACACTGAGCCAATGGGACATCTGTTGCTCGACATCGGTTGGAGCCAATGGGACAGCTACAAGCCACGAAGGGTGGGTTGACTGCCCTCCTAAGATGACTTGAGAATATAACTTATTTACAGTGAGCTTAATCCATGGGTTGATTGACCTCCTAAGACGACTTCAGCGTATAACTCTTTATGTCGGTAAGCATCTCCGGTCGTCTCATTTGTAAGAGACGTTTGGGACAAATTCTCTTTGAAAGAGCACACTGTTATGTATTGTAAACCCTAGAAAACAATGAAGGAAGAATGACAAAGGAAATTGTAGGACCTAGCAAATTATAACTCTTATTTATCGGTAAATAATAGGGTCCTAGAAAATTATAACTCCTTATTTCTTTAAGTAAAGATTTGCATTTTCATATGAATCTCTTCAAGATTCCACTTATTTAATTTCACAAGGCATTTTGCCTTGTTAATGCAAAATTCAATAATTGTCAACACTAATTATAAATGCGTATCCTCGAGAAGATATTTACCTTGGTACAAGCATCGTTGTTATTAATGCGCTGAGAGGAGTCGAAAAGACACAACCTTTATTCGCAGAGTTGTGAACATGTTGCGATACATTAAATAGTCTTCGCAAAACAGGATGTCAGAAATAAATAAAGAACAAAAAATTTTTGCGAACAATGTAACTCATAACAGAGTGAACAATATGCGATATATCGCATAGTATTTCGCATAACTATTAAGGCTCGCAAGGTGTTGTCAACCACCTGGAAGAAATATTTGTTCATCTGGGGCTTCATCCCAAATGATCAACCGACATCGTATGATCAGTTCGGCCAAAGGACTCTGCTGGCTAATATCGCATGTAGAGCCTTCCATTGGGTTTAGTGGGATTTTGAATCGTGAATGTGCAGTGCTTCCGCCGAGAAGCAAAAGTGATGCAATACCGCTCGATGCAATATTCAACACAATTTCACCTTTGGATCTCAAAGCAGAAGACAAGGCCCTCCAGACATATGTTTTTCCTGTAACCATAAACGAAAAACATGCGGCCGTAGGTACGGTAAACAGAGTCCATTATCGAGTCATAAACATTGCGCTGCTCATCAGTCATATTGGCAACTAACTCCTGATTCTCAATAGCGAGTGCACGACAATCGTAATTCAACTCGTCCATCACCAGTCTGTTCGTGGATGCCTCATTACGATCGAGATTAGAAAAAGGCATTGTACCGTATTCGCATAGACTCGTACCATGTCTGCGCAAAAACTTTCAACCTCCGCCAATGCCAGATTCTTTACTTCATCATCGCTCAAAACCAATTCTGTAACAACAATATAGAAAGTTTATAAATATAAAGACATAAGAGAAAAAGAAAAAAACATAAGTATGTGACCGTAATTGATTCGTTTACCTGGATGTTGTAACACCCTCCGACGATTATATAATATGTCATCCGATAGGTAAGGCCAGCATGATTCCCACACGAACTCCGGTCTACCGAGAGTATCAGAAGATAACAAAGTAGCAAAAAGGTTTCTCAACGAATTGGCACTCGACCACTAGCTTACCTCGATAATCCCTTCAATGTACTCTTTGTCGTCCTCAACCAAACCAAGGGTATAACACGCGTCACGTTTAGAATCATGTGTTACTCCGTCCAACTTTATATAGTCACGATGGCACGTTGCACCTCGAACAACGTTGAGAAGACACCTCAAGTAATATATGTCACAAGCACTAGGGGGGATGAAGTACAAACGCGCAATTCAGTCACTTCCTTTCCTAGGCTCCCAACAGTTGGTTTCCGAGTGCCACGTAAATTTGGTGGGAGCCTCAGCGTACGTCAGTTTCCTAGCTTCGGGATACTTCTTGTTAGCTTCCATCCAAGCTAAGAATTTGCTGCCGGCATTTTTATTTTTATTAACCACTTCATCGATCAGAACTTCATCGTCATAGTAGCACGGACGCTCGTTCTCGAGGTTGAAATTCAAGCGCTCCACTGATGGGTGCTTGTATTGAATCTCATATTCCAACAGCCGCCACACAGCCTCACAAGATGAAACGTATCGACAATCATAGTACATCTTCACCTCGTCAACTGGCCTGCTTGAGGACTCATCTTCATTCGACGCATGGAAGGTGGCAGTAACATGATTGTTCCCCTTGTTCACGTACTTGAACAAATATTTGATCGACCTCGACTGGTTGCACCACTCCATATTTATGTGCGCGCCGTACTTCATGAGCAATTTTTTGTTATGAGGCACAACGTATCTGTTATCCAAGAGAATGCCATTCTTTTCTATGGTCCTGCCATTATCACGACGTCTGTATCCTGGATAGCCTTCTTCGTCAAGAGTCGTGGTTTCGGAGAACTTTTTAGGAAAATGTTTTGTGCAACAATTGTTCGCCATACACGGAGATTTCAGGCGAACACTTCCGCAGGGGCTGTGCATCATATGATCTATAACAACGGCATAGTAAAATGTATCTGTGGCCTCATCTGATATTTCCGCAGAAATTATTTTATCTATGCCATCAGTAGTCTGTATCTTGTATTCCTTGGCAAGTAAAAGCAAGATATGCGCATGTGGAAGACCACGTGTCTGGAATTCAATCGTGTAGATTGCTGCAGTAGATTCATACTTAGGTAAAAAATAATACAATGCAAAACATATAATAAATAATATAAATAAATCACTTAAAAAATATTTTGAAAAAATACCTGCATTCACCTCTCCAAACATCTTGTTATGTCAAACATCCCTCATTAATGCATCTAACTTGGTCTTAAAAACCCGACAAATTATATCAGGACGATCCTCTGGGTTAAGGTTCTTCTCAGCAAGAAAACGACTGATTTCGGGCCACTTCGGATTGCAAGTGAAGGTTATGAAAATGTCAGGATAATCGGTCCAACGACAAATGGCCATTGCATCCTGATAGTTCTGAATAATATATCTCGGGCCACCAGTAAAGGATGACGGAATTATAATCTGTTTGCCTTGAGAACCAGGATCTGTGTCACCGCGCAACACAACGTCGGATAGCCTGCTGTACAATTCGGTTCTCAAGTTCTTCTGATTAAAACGGATGTATCTGAGCCGAAATCCCTCTACCATTGTATAAGCGTCCACAACAAACTGCTGATACAACCTTCGAGCGGAAAGAATTGACGACAATTCGCCGTCCCGATCGTGCATTCGATATTTGAAGAACTCATTAGGGCTGTTAAATTTCCTTGTCCTCTTCGTGATCGGTTTTAGGCAGGAGAACGGAGTGTCCTCCCTATAACCATCCTCGCCATATGAAAAAAGAATAGGATAATGGGGAGCCAAGTAGGAAGCGTTCAACTCGTTGATCCGTTGCAGGCGTCCGCTCCGATTTTCTACTATAATATCTCTGCTGCCCATAGCATCGTCGAAATCCCCAACAACTAAGGCAGCAACTTCAGAAGTGGAGGGTAAATTATAACGCCGACCATCCTTGTTCCTTCTACCGATAAGTCGCATCTTAAGTTCAATTTGCTGGTGCTGGTTCACCGTCTCCCGCGCCATCCTGAACGACTTGACCAAAACATTGTAATGATCGAGTAGCTCCTTTAAACCACGAACTACATCCTCATCTAGGTTATTTATGTCAGAACCTCTCCTGACATAAATAAAAAATTATATTGAATTAGTAAAGATAATGTAAAAGGCAATAAAGAAAAACTAAGTACTCAATTTTGAATGCTAAAAATATAATATATATATATATATATATGTGTATATATATATATATATACCTCACAGAAGACAATAGGTTTGATACTTCGTTCTCTGTGTCATAGATATACAATTGAGCAAATTTCGGAGGGGATCCATGGTCGGGTAGCAAACTACCCGTTAAATGGTAGTCCTGACCGTGCAAACGGAAGACGGGTGGGCCAGTTCCCTTGTTTATGTCGGTATCCATTTTCCCCCCCCATGGATGTAAAGCAGAACATGTTGTTGTATGATCGAATATTTTCTTGAAAGTGCTTGCTTTGAGGACCCGTCCCAAAAATAAGATCACGCAGAAAGGGGGGCGGAGTGTAAACGGGTGGAAGTTCGATGAATCCATTGTTGCAGCACCCAGAATACTTAGGTACCTTAGGTTAAGATGGCTTGCCCAGTCGCTCGGAATACCAAAATTTGGCACCACAGTGAAGGCAACGGAACGATGCATCGCCAATATCCTAATATTTTGCGGAATTGTAATATTCAAATATATTAACAATTTATTAATCATTTTATATACCATGCTCTAAAAAAAGGTAAAAGGATTTGAAAGATAAAATATGAAAAAAATAAAAAAATTAAATACATAAGTAAAATAATTACTAGTGCTGATGGATGAGTGTGAGGAACTGGCCAATGACGATGAACCTCTAGTATTAATGGGCATTTGAGGAAATACGTTCCTCGGACGCCCGCCTACGTACATTCTTCTGAGCTGGCAAGTTTAATGATGAAACAATATAAAACATTGTATTATTATTTAAAAAATACCATATACATATTTTCAAGTGATTTTTTTTCTTGTTAAAAATAATTAATTTAGACAAATTGATAATAAAACTATAATTACCATTTGTGGGGGGAGGTAATGTGCGCCTCGAACGTCCGCGTACGTTCTTCCGAGGTGGTAAGTTTAATGATGAATCTGCATACAAATGGATTATTATTAAAAAAGAACAAAAAAAAAGTATAACATAAATATACGTGATCCAATAAAAATTGTTTTCTTTCATTAATAATATATAAGTTCAATAAATTGGAAACTAATTTAAAATTACCATTGCTGACATGGTTACCCAATGTTGTAGGGGTAGCATTTTGTTCGACGTCCGTTGTAAGATCAACGAGAGGTACTAACCGATGTATTCGTGAGTTAAGTTATGGAACTATTCTGAGACGAACGTTGAGAATTTGCGAATTGAAAACCTAACATGAAAAATTAATTAATGGTCAATATACTAAACAAACAATAATAAATACATTCTTTCTTTGAATGATGTGTTTTTAGGATAAGTTGCTGTAATGATTAATATATGTATAAATACATACATTTAATAGTTTTACTTGTTTAGATGATAAATTTTTGTACTACAACTAATTGGGGTAAATATTTGTAATAATTATATGTGTACTATATATCATATTAAACATTATTGGGGCAGGAAATTTATAAGTATGAGCCCAATATAAATTGTTGGGAAAATTTGGGGCTTTATTATCATATTAAGTATACTTGCTATTAACTAACCTATGTATTGGGCTTTAAAAAATAAATATGTCCAGCCCAGTTCTGAGCCCAAATAACCTATGTTCTGATCCCAATATAATGCTGATGCTGATTTAAGAAGTCAATTGGCGACACGTTTTTTACATCTCACTTAGTATGGAGACGCGTGTCTTTATATTGCTATATCATTTAAATACCTCAAACCCTAAAGGAGCACCTTTATCGCCATTTTTATCGCCTCTCTCAATTTTCTGTCGCCGATTCTCTATCTCATTTATCTCTCTATTGAAATTGTTCGACCATTTTTCGCCGATAATTTCGCCAAAAACGGTGTTTCACCGGCAATTCAATTCTGTTTTTCAAGCTGATACTGAAAAAATACATGAGATTTATTTTTTTTCGAATCAAAAGGGAGACGACAAAGTGAAATCGTCCCGATTTTAAAACACCGATGTACTAATTCGTTGTATCTCAGTAGAAATCGGCGATTACATGATAGATCTTTGTAGATTCTACAAATCTTTTGTAATTTTTTTTATTGTTTTTAAACATTTTTCTATTAAAATCCTGATTACATAATAGATTTATACAGATCTGTAATAGATCTACAAATTTTTTGTAATTTTTTTTTATTTTTTTGAACATTTTTCTATTAAAATCCTGATTACATAATAGATCTATACAGATCTAGTACGATTTGTACATTTCTTAAATAATTATTTTTTTTTAATTTTTGAAATTATGTATTTACAAACAAATCTAATCAGATCTGTGTTTTTCGAAGACTTATTTCGTTCTTTTTTAGATAAGCTGTATATATGCCTAGAGAGCCTAAAGAAATGCTTAGATGAACTCTTATGCTAAGCCTGAAGATACGCAATGATTTTTTTACTGTACAAATAAGGCCGAACTATGCTAAGATTTCGTTTTTTTTTCGTTGTTTTTACATAAGGCCGAACTAATTAACTGTTCAAATACCGTTGGTGACCATGAGTAGGTATGTATATCGCAAGATTCTGGTATATTACAAACTGTTATTTCAAGTTGGTTATGTTTATTCTTTTTTCTCAGATTGCTGAAAAAAGACCAAAGGGTAATGATATCCCAACTAAAAGGTAAAAAAACCAGTTTGTAGTTGTATAACCATTATGCTTTGAAGTGAAAACGATTTATACATTATTTTCTATACAGGAGCAAGCATAGGAGGCCAACAGAGGCAAGAATATATACAGATAAGTGTCTTATTCTCTATGCAACTCAAATTTTGTATTAATTTGCATTATTGTGATGTACCTAACAATTAAAATTTGTTATATGATTAGGAAACAAAAAGAAAACAAAAGATGAATGAAGCTGATGGTGAGGATCACAACTCGAACAAAGCACTACACAGGTACACGATCATCTAAACTTTGTCAAGTCATGAAAAATGATTGTATATTTAGCATGTACCCTATGTATTACTCCTGTGTGTCTGTTGAATGATTGAATGCATCTGTGTTTTGTAGCCAATGATTTAAATTCCTATTGGTTTTCCAAAATTTGAGCATGTATCTTGTGTAGTACTCTTCTGAGTATGTTCCATGGTTTCGGGCCTCTGTCTTTTCGTGTTAATTGTTTGTGAGCATGTCAACCTCTTCATTTTGAGATGACAGAATTGAAAATAAGATTTTCTTTGTGTTTGTAAGAAACTGCAGATGTGTTTGCTTTTTGATGTCTATTCAAAATTGAAATGACGTAGGTTTGCATGTTTATATAATAGTAATCAGAGACTATATATGTCAATATATTTAATGCTAGTATAAATTTCAAATCTTGATTATGGCAAAGCTGACATGTAGTTGGTAACATAATTTATTGTAATAAATTAATTGATTGGTATATTGAGTTTGATTGGAAAAATTTGTTGACTCTTTTATTCAATTTTAATGAAAGGAATGAATGCACATATGCTGTTACAAAAGTATAAATAAAATGCCGAATATAAACTATTGGCTGAAAATTTTTCTTAAAAAAATATTTATTTTTTAATTATTTAATTAAGTTGTTGATTATAAACTATTATCTGAAATGGTTGTTTATAATATTAATTTTTGAGTTGCTGATTATAAACTATTCTCTGAAATGGTTGTTTATAATATTTGATTTTTGAGTTGTTGTAATCTATTGTTTAATTTATTATAAATGTCTGAAGTGCTGTGTAGAAACTTTATTTGGGTACAGAATATATGAGAAGTGTAATAATAAAAAATGAATGATGTGTTGGGGTTTATATAGTGTTTCTTTGCCTTGTAAAGAATCAGTATTGAGATAAGTTTATTCTGACTCATATTGAGATAGGAACTATTTATAACTGTAATTATAGAAATAAATAAGTTTATTCTGATTCATATTGAGATAGGAACTATTTATAACTGAATTATGAATTACTGCTTTAGGAAGGAAATCAGTAATCAGTAATCAATAATGTAATAAATAGGTGGACTATTTAATAACCATATCTGTATAAAATTTAGAATAGTAAAAGCTTTGACTGTCCATTTTTTTTTATTGTGTTTTTCTGATTTATGCATTTAATTAATATTTAATTTTTTATATTAAAATGGTCAAATCTATAGCTGTATTAAGTTTCTTTTCTGAGTGTTTATGTTCTGTTCTGTTCTGTTCTGTTCTGAGTGCTTATGTTTTCCTGATAAATAGTAAATGTTTGAAGTAATTTATTAATATTGAGCAAAAAACTATATAAATTCATTAAATATAATAAACTTTATTCTTTCATATAATAAAGAGAGATTGCATTCAGATTCAAATAATTGTTATTGGGAACATTTCAATTTTAAAACAAACTCAAAACATAAGCATTCTACTAATTTATTTATAAAAAACTTCAATCCAAATAGGGATGGCAATTTGGCCCGGACCCGTACTGGCCCGCCCCGTCCCGAGGCCTTTGGGGCGGACCCGACCCGCCCTGTTTTAAAAAACGGGCCAGGTCGGGCCGACCCATTTTATAAGCGGGGTAGGTCCGGGTACTGAAATCCGACCTGGCCCGACTTGGCCCGATCTGGCCCGACCTGACCTGTAAGTATATTTATATTAGGTATATGCAAAATGGTGTGGCCTAGTTTTACAAACTAAAGTCCATTAGACTTTTTTGAAGCCCAAATTCCTATACATATATTAAGTAATAAAATTGTCAGCATAATCTTCAAGCCCAAATTAATTAGGGTTCTTTCTTCATCTNTGCCGCCCCCTCTCTTTCTCCAATCTTTTCTATTGTTGTTGTTCACTGACGGCCTTGGACTGGCAGTGGAGTTTCGAGCGAAAAATTGAGGGCCAATGACAGGGCAAGCGTGGCAATCCCTGACGCACGTTACTTTTGAGAACACAATTTAGCCACCAATGAAAATTGATTTATGAGGGTGGAGCAAATGGGTTAAACAGAGTCTTGAAATGAGAGAGTGATGACAGGAATGGTCTCAAAAATTTCAGGAATTGGAAAAGTTGAAAAATTTATGAAGAATTTTGGTGTTCTTTGATTATTTTATTTAATTCTTTTTTTATTTTGTCTGATTCTTTTTTTTTGTGATGAACAGGCCAGGGCACGGGCCTGGCCAGCTAGACCCGTCACGGGTCACGGGCCAGGTCGGGTCCATGGGGCAGGGGTGCGGGCCAGGTCCGGGTCCGTAACTACCTGGTCCGACCTGGCCCATTGCCATCCCTAAATCCAAATCATGTGGTGCACTCAGATTTGTTCAATCTTTATTTTCTTCTTCCCCATAAGCTCTTCCGAACAGCCTGACCCAGTTTGCTCTCTCTTCTTTGTCTCCTCTTTGCAGTCCTTTACAGCCCTGATTGGGCTGTTCACTTCTTCAGCATTTACAGCCCTGATTGAGCTATACACTTCTTCAGCCTTTACAGTCCTGATTGGGCTATACACT